AGGGAGGAGTGGGGAGTGGGGAGGTGAGAGGAATGGGGAGGAGTGAGGAGTGGGGAGGAGGGAGGAGTGGGGAAGTGAGAGGAATGAGGAGGAATGAGAAGTGGGGAGGAGTGAGGAGTGGGGAGGTGAGGAATGGGGAGGAGTGAGAAGTGGGGAGGAGTGAGGAGGTGAGAGGAGTGGGGAGGAGTTGGGAGTTAGGTGTGGGGAGTTGTGGGAAAGTGGGGAGTGAGGAGGGAAAGGTGGGAAGGAGTGGGGAGGAGGGAGGAGGAGGGAGTGAGAAAGAGGAAGGGGAAGTGGGGAAGGGAAGAAGAGTAAGGAGTGGGGAGGAGGGAGGAGAACGGGGGTGTAGGGAGGAGGGGAGTTGGGGGGAAGAGGAGTAAGGAGAGGGGAGGAGGAGGGAGTGAGAAAGAGGAAGGGGAAGTGGGGAAGGGAAGAAGAGTAAGGAGTGGGGAGGAGGGAGGAGAACGGGGGTGTAGGGAAGGGGGGAGTTGGAGGGAAGAGGAGTAAGGAGTGGGGAAGGGGTAGGAGGAGGAGTGGGAAAAGGGAGGAGTTGGGAGTAACGAGTAAGGAGGAGTGGGGCAGGGAGTGCGGACGGGGAGGAGCGGGGAGCGAGTCTGAGGCTGGGGAAAGGCCCCGGCGATCCGGCTGTGGGGGCCCAGCCGCAGCATCTCTGGGGCCCTCCGGCTGCTCTGCTCCGGCCGCGTAGCAAGGCGGGCGCCTCTTGCGTGGGCAACACTCACCCTCCGCCACTCTTCTGTTTTCTCTCCTACCACTCTCCTCTTGCTCCTCTTCCTCCCTCTTTTTCTCACTTTTCTCCTTTCTTCTCCCTCCTGGTCTCTGCACGCACCGCCTCGGGCCTCCTGTTTGCTCTGTGCGTCCCTCCTTCCCTCCGCTTCTCCCTCCCACGCCTCCAGACTGGGAAGGAATGGACGGCCCCTGGAGAGTTTGGGAAATTTCGGAGCCAGATTTCCAAGCCGGTGAGGTGAGTGAGGGTCAGGGCAGGCCTCGTGCGCGCCTCAGTGCGGAGGCCGGTGGTGGTGGAGCCGGCTGGACCCCGTCCGCCCCCCG